CTGAAGCCAGAGAACATCCTGTTAGACTCACAGGGCCACATTGTCCTAACAGACTTTGGCCTCTGCAAAGAAGGCCTTGAGCCCAACGGTACCACGACAACCTTCTGTGGGACGCCTGAGGTAAAAGATACATCTTTAGACATTTGTTCATCATTAGTATGACCTCAGTACGACTTCTGAGGAATAATGTTGGACTTGCATTGAACTTTTCTCTGGTTTTTTTCTCAGTATTTGGCTCCTGAGGTTCTCCAGAAGCAGGCGTATGACCGCACTGTCGACTGGTGGTGCCTGGGATCGGTGCTCTATGAAATGCTCTATGGACTTGTAAGTGGAAACCAGTGACTTTATGCCTTTTTAGATCTCCTGATTGTTTAGACAAGATTAACACAACTCCTTTCTTTTTTTTTGAAACAGCCTCCATTCTACAGTCGCAACACGGCTGAGATGTACAGTAACATCCTGCACAAGGCTCCGGTGCTCAAGCCCAACGTGTCGAATGCAGGCAGGGACCTGCTCGAGGGGCTTTTGCAGAAGGACCGCACCAAGAGGCTGGGAGGAAAGGATGACTTTGTAAGTGCACACATCACATAGAGCCCTGATTCCCAGACTGTGGGCTGCAGTCCCCTAGTGGCCTTTGCAAGTACTGCAACTGGGCTGCAAGAAGTCACCTGCTGTAAATTAAAAACATTAATCTTCAACAGTATAATTTAGTATAATGTTGTAGTTAAGAGTTTGCATTTTTGAAAGAAATAGAACAAGTAAAAAAAAAAGGGTTGGAATTAAAATAATTACACAATCATTCCTCATTTTCTGACCTACTTTTGAACCCGAACTCGTCCAAAATCAAGCACAAAACAAGGAAATACTTGATCTTAGGCTTGTGTGATGATCGAATCTGTTATTAAAGTTTTGGGTGGTCCAAAAAGGATTTTCACATATTGAAATGTGCCACAGACCTCTCAAGTCTGGGAATGGCTAACATACAGGACTGTAACAGATTGCGACACTTGTTTTCCATCACTGTGCTCATCCAGTTTCTCTTTTTTCCTTCAGCTTGAACTGAAGTACCATTCGTTCTTCTCTCCAATCAACTGGGAGGACCTGATGGCCAAGAAGATCACACCTCCATTTGTTCCATCAGTGGTATGTATTACTCATTATAATTTAATCAGAATGATGTGTTGTCCCAGAACAAGGCTATCACAGTATCACTTTCATGTTTCACTTCACAATTATAGCGAACTACATTAATGCAATATTAATTGGAAGTGCATGAGCGGCTTTAACCATAACTGTACAAAAGCATTAAAAAGAACAGTTACACAGTATTTACAATATTACTGCGTCTGTTTTATTGACATCTGCTGGAAATCCAAAGCCTTTTTGTTAATTGAATAGTCAGAAATAGAAGGAAAGTCATACATCTAGTGAATGTGGACATTGTGCTTATGCTATGAAACACCCTGATATCAGTGGCAAATTCATTATTATACATGCAATTTTTCTAACGTCTTCCCCATCTTTGTGTTACAGTCTGGTCCCACGGACCTGCGACACTTTGACCCCGAGTTCACCCACCTGCCAGTGTCCTCCTCTCTTTGCACAGACACGCTGACTGTGACCAGCAGCGTCAAAGAAGCAGCCGGAGCCTTTCCCGGCTTCTCTTACGGGCCTCCAGCCGGACACTCCTTCATGTGATCGCCAACATTTCTTCCTGTCTGTCCTGAGAATGAGCAGGAAGCAGGACAAAAGCTCCAGACTGTGTTGCTTTGACACATGGACCAAACTGGAGCGGCTTGTCTAGGAGGACGTTATAAGAGGATCTAACTGACAAGAACACTGAGGGATGAGGGTCAGATCTTGAGTTAGCTTGTGCATGACCAGTGTACAGATGGAGGACTCTCATGTTACAACACAGCTGGCCCTACAGACTTCTGCCTGTCTGTAGGGCATCAAACTGCAATACATATGTGCCATGTATGGATGCACGTCATGGCCCTAAAACATCTCTGATGGCTCCGGTGAAGTGACATGAAGAGAAGTGCCTGAAGTTCAATAGGCAGTTCGGACGACAACAGCAGAGCCAGCTATATCGGAAAAAGCAAAAACATCGAGGCAGTTTCTTTTGTTTGGACTTTTGACGAGAACGCTAGCCGTTTAAAGGTGATGCCTTCATTTCATTTCTACATATGTCCAAGCTCTGTGTTTTTCTTAATGTTCACACTGTGTTTTGTTTTCATGTGAATGCTCAATTGCACTCGAGGAAACAAGGGTCACGAAAAGTGAAGCTTATTTTGCTTGAAGCATCAGAAACTTTGGATTAGACAGCTGTATATCTCTTATTTAGCTTCATATCTCTGCTCTGAACAAAAAAGAAACGACAGTATCTCGATATTACGCACCTGCTAGTACTTCTTGGACCAAACAGACTCATTAAGACTTTATTTTTGACCCGTTTGTCCTCATGAACTGAACTTTTATTGTACTGTGTAGAAAAAGAAAAGAAGTTACATATATTTTATTAACCACAAACATTCACTGTTTACTAGATTATGAATAATTTCTAAATGTCGATTAGTGTATCAAAATATCCAAGTAGATTTATTTCATCCAAAGCAATATAATTTATTTTTGGGTTTTCACTTCCTTGTCATCTTCATCTAGCGACTACATTAGTTTATATCTGCTGTTTGCAAACTTTACAAAGGACTAAGGAAGAGTTCAACCAGCAATAACAGCCCCACATCAATGATAGCACATGGATACTGTATATCAATCTTATTTTAACTTAAAAGTGATTGCTGTTTTATTGCAAACACTCCAGACAAACTGTAGAGTCTATGATCACAAATGTCTGTGTATTTATGCATCATGTAGAGAAGAACTGTGAATGTCTTGTGCCTGTCCAAGGCGGCCTGATCCGTGTATAATGTATCTACATATCTCTTCCCCCTAAACCTGTTGGTTCCTTTTTCTAGAAAAATATCATTAAAAGAAAAAAGCTTAATGAACTCGGTGAGGAACCCGCTGGGTGGAGTAGGCACTGGCGTTGTTGAGCCTCGGGCCTCCTGCGTAAGATGGTTCTGGAAAGTGCAATAAAATATTGTTAACACGGAAAGAATTAAATATTTTATCTCTTTTTATCAAAAGTGTAAGGCAACTTTATGCTCTGATAGTCATTATTAAGAGAGGCTTTTCACCTGAGCACGGATTACTCATGATATCTTTACTCCATTTTTTTAAATCTCCATATTTCAGGTTTCTGCATCCCCAGAAAAGAATTTTAAAGCCTGCTGAAAATAATCATACTAAAAAACAAGGCAGCACACAGCTCTAGATCATTTTCTTCCATATTTGGAAGCGTTAAGTTTCTGTTTTGTATTTTTTTATGTATATTTATTTTCATGCCACTGCTACTGTACAAACAAGACTATTTACATGATCAACTGAAAAAACTGAACTGTAATCTGTGTCAGAAATGGCAAATAAAGTCTCTAAATCTAAGTCTCGTCTACTGATAATTTTTTTTGTATTAATGACCTAAATCTAAAAAGTCATTATTAACTGAAGATTGTAAATGATTGCATGCTGCAGGTATCTCTGCTAGAAAGAGAGAGGTTAAAGTTCACAGGAAATCTTCCAGATGTATTTACATTTTATTATAATGAAATTATGGAAGCTAAATGAATAATTTTTCTACATACTGACAGCTTTTACTTTAGCTCCTTCTTAATTCAGTTGTGCTGTGAGGATATAAACAGCAGGTGAACAGGTATCTCTTCCTTACATTTAAACTATGTCAGCAGGTGTTCTGATGAAGGAAAAATACTCAAGCCCCATTTCCTCCAGTTTGCTTCACAGGCAAATTGATCGTTGGAAACACCATCAACGGGCAAACAGGTCAGCAGCTGGCCAGACACACCTTTTTATTTACCCTGAGCCATAGGGTCACAGGTTGAGTTTAACCTTTCCACCTGAGTCCTTTTAGCCTTTTCCCAAAGGAGAATCACAAGGATTGTGACAAAAGTATTTCCAGGCTTTCTAATCAGTTTTTAAACAAGGGACATAATTTCCTCGAGAAGAGAAAAGATTCAGATGGCCAGAAATGGGAGAAAAATAGACTTCTTCTTTCGGCTGGTCCCTTTAGAGGTCGCCACCACCTCCTCTCTGAGGTGCCTGGAGCTCCATGTTCAGCGTGTCCACTTTCCCTCCTCTGCACATGTCAATCTCAACCGAACTTTGTCTCCAAACCCCTCAACCTGAGCTTTCCCTCTCCTTTCATTCCTCTTCTCTCCAGACTCTCTTCCACCTGCTAACTACTCTCACTACAGATCACATTACACAATTATACTGTTCACTCACACTTAAGTGCATAGTCATATATATTTCCACTCTAAGGCAACGAACAGTGGTTTTCATTGTTAACTATTCAGTTTATTGTTAAGTTAGTTACTTGAGGTATGAGAAAACATTAAAAAGATTTTTTTTAAATATGCAGGTGAAAACTACACATGAAATAAAATAAAATAAAGACATTTTAATGAGAAAATAGATAATCTAGAACACTACTGTAAGGTCTGGGCTTCTCTGCTTAGGCTGCTGCCCCTACCACCCGGTCCTGGATAAGCAGAAGAAGATGGCTGGTCTACTGTTTTAAAAATCTTTCAACATTAAGATTGTCTTAAATTTTAAAATACTTGCTGATTATAATAGAATTATTGCTCCTATATTGTTAATTTATTTATGTGCTACTATTGTGTCCAGTCCTTTGAACATCACAGTAAGGCTGAAAATGACACCTGGACTTTAAATCTTAGACTGAGTTAGTTTAAATCAATAAAGTCTAAACTTACTGTACCATTTTTTAACAATTTGTTTGATATTAACGAGCTTTCATGCGATAAAACAAACCCCGAGGTAAAACTGGACGCATTCAAAGCATGCTCACCTGTTCAAATAACAGCTGTTTGCATTTTGCTCTCACCTGTGTCTGTGCGATGCTCTCGTCTCACTGTGAATCAGCCCTTCGCACATGCGCAGAACAGTCCGCAACGACCACTTCCTGCAAAATAGTGCTCCCTAACAACAGACAAAGCTTCATATGGTGGTTTCAACCAAAGGCGCTTAATTAAAAGCGTTCCTCCATCGCTCCTTCAATGGTAAGACGTGTCTCGATGATTTTGTTGTGTTTCGGGTTTTTGTTTTGCAATCAGCTTTGCAGATGAATATAGCAGAAGTGAGATGCTTTCACACGCTGCCATTTCAGTACCTACTCCAATGGCTGCTGGTCCCGACTAATCTCTGGAACGGGAAACTTTATGCCCGGGGGAAAACAAGTACAGCTAGTGATTAATTCCCCAGTGTACAGGGTTGGGAAGACTGCAGTGCATGCAAATTGAACAGCTGATGGCAAAGTTCACCGTAATTAAGTTGCCACTAAAGAATAAGTGATAATCGACATTGTCTGCTAACGTTGGGACGCTAGCGTTCCGGTGTGGTCTAAATGCTGGTGAGTTCGTGCTTTTTACTTGGGTCTGTTTGTTTCTTTTATTAGTTTGTGCCAGTCACTTTAAATTATTTAGTCACGTCTGACTTAGTATGCTGTACGAATTAATGTTTCGGTTGTCCCCGGATAGAACTGACGAGTTGCTGTTCTCCAGGAAGTAGACCGATGTCTGGCTTCACCTTCACAGTAAACTGTTCCCGGGTGCTAAATTCAGCTAACCTAACGGTAGTCTGTTAGCATTTGGAGATGTCATGGATGGGAACTTTTCGCATGACTTGATGCAATCTGTCGTTCCCGGATTAATGCTAGAATAACATACAGGACAAACAACGATGGTAGCATGTGCACTAGAGCAAACGCATTTAATAATCACAGTCCACACACAGATTTGCAGCCTGCACACGGCAATCAATATGACATTTTTAAAGAGCGATACCAGTTATTAGTAATTATTAGTAAGGAGAGAGTTGTGAATTAGTAATAATAAATCCGTGTTAACCACATATTGCTTTAGTCATTTAAATGTATATATTAAAAATGTGTAGTAAGGCTTTTAAAATTTGTAGTAATGGTTTTGTCATTCTGTTATTTGTCTCTGCATATGTCGTTTTTTAATGCTTTATTACTTTTTTGTGTACTTTGTACACTTCCCTTTCGTGTTATTCTTATTCATATTCATAGAATATTCATATTAAATATGGCCTGGCCCTTCTTAAATAAAACAAACCACAGCAATTGAAAGGACGTCATCAGAAGCCTGTTTTATGAAGCAGGATTTGGGCTTATCCAGGTAACTTCAGGTTTAACCATTAGTTTTTCTGTACTAGGAAGGCAGTTTACATCTTATATTGCCATGGTAACTTGTGCTGCAAACCTAACTTGCTATGCAGCAGCATGAAATCACCACCTACTGACCAGTCAGATGTCCCGAAAATTCCTGGAAGATCGCTTGCCTGCAGCTTGCAGAAGGCACGTGAAGCTTTTCAATAGCAACTTTGTGGTTCAGTAGTAAATGTAGATTTTTAAATTTTTTTTATTGTTTTTAACTTTCCCAGTACTGTCTAGCCTTGTATATTTTAATTATTTTTATTATATTATGTTATATTACATTATACTATATTTATAGTATTGTACTTGACACAGCCCTATTCTGACATGCAATTCACTAATTTTGGCACATCCAAATTAAATTTAGCTGAATTATCAAAATGTTACTAAGACTTTTATTGGTTGGGATTTCATTGACTTATCCAAAAATGTCTATTACGCATAGCTACACAGTACATGGAATTAAGTGGTCTTGATATCAGTATTTGAAGCAACAACTAGCCTGTAGTTGTAGCGTTTGTTCCCTGTATGTTCTGTTTGACCTTTTTTTTTTTTTTATTACTATCATCATAATGTAATAAAATTATACCTTAAAAATGTTTTTCAGGTCTTTTAACTGTCAGCCAAAACATAATGGGACTACCAGATAAATATTTTGTTTGCTGACAGATTGATAGTGGTCAACAAGGCTCACTCATATATGTATTTAATGTAGCTGCTTGTAACCCAGAACATTTTTGCCATTATGCACAAGGTCAGTTAAAAATGTTCAGATGACTCTTATCTTCACAAACAGAATCAATCAGAATCAGAATACTTTATTGATCCCTAGGGGAAAACAAATGGGCTGATGACTCTGCAAACCTGAATAATACATTTAAATTACTTTTTTTTTTTTAAATCCATCAAACAATCAAATAATTATTTACTTGTTTAATCATTTCTCTGTCAAGTGGAAGTAAAATAAGAAAGAAAGCTCTCTTTTAATTTTTTTGGTTTTCTTTATTATTTTCTGTTTTGTTTTGTCTGACCAGCAAACAATAAACTGAAAGGTACTCAGTTTTTACTCTGTGATTTTAAAAATTAAATCACATCTTCCCATTTGAAAAGCTGACTCCAGGTTTTACATATAAATGACTACAATTATTATTTTCTTGTTAATTTACTGACCAATGTTGCAGCTGCATTATATAAGTATTTATATCTGTTGGTTTAAGTGGGTCTTTTTGTTTTTTGCAGAAGGCATTCATTAGACTGAGAACTCATATAATAAAGATGTTTGGTAATCCAGTGATCAATTAATAATTCATTTTCTTAAATGAGAGACCTGCAAAATAATTTTTTTCTCGTTTTAATTCAGTTAACTTTAAAAATGTCATTAGCATATATATTTTTTTAATTCACTTATCTAAATCTCGCACAAGCCTGCATGTTCTTTAATGAACCACTTCTAAGAACAACACCTACCTGACACATTGATTTGGTGTTAATTTGCAGACTGACCTATTTTCTCTGATTGCTTTTACATTATGTCAGTTGAGTAAATGCTCATCCCTCCAGCTGTGGGCAGAGGCCCGTTAAAGTGAGCAGTGGACAAAACGAGGTTAGATCTTATCCCCCCGGGGCATCTATTGATATGAGAGCGTGCACCTGAGCAGCTAATGCTCCCAGAGGGTATGTTTTCGTTGAATGTAGGTTAGTTCGCATGTAAGGTGGCACGCATCCTTAATCCTGCAGTAAAAACAGAGTGGCGAGGACGTTGGTGAGCGTCAATGCCACACGTGCCTCACCTGCGAGTCTCGTGCTGGAGATTAGAGCAGGGTGCCCCACTTCCTTCATCGCCACTGCCTTCCTACTGATCGAACCCTGATAGGGGCAGGAGAGGGATTCACTTTATGGGACAAGGGGAGGGGGGAGTCACGTATGGGGTACTATATAAGACTGTGCTCCCACCATTGACTCTGTGCCTGTTTGTCTTTGCTTCTGTGGTGGTGTGAAGCAGGGTCCCGCCAGGCTCTCCAGGTACAGAGAGTAGGCTGAGTGTGCAGACATGTCGGGCCGCTCCGCTGCAGAGATGGATGACTCGCAGGAGCTGCCGGTGAGTATGCATGGAGTCATTTGCATAGTAACTTTACTGATTTCCTGTAACTGTTGTTTTTGTGTATGATAACAAAAATGTGGCTTAAAGTTCATGCAAATATGATGATAAGAAATGATAAGAAAGTGTATATACTTATGATATGATAATTAGATTATACAGACCTTTTTGCCTTATTTGTATATAGACTAATCATGATTACCTGCATGGTCACAACCAAAGGCCTGTTTTGAGGCAGGAAATACTCTCACAGTGTATCATTTTTTTTGTGGAGCATTAAAAGGCATTTGCTCTCTTTTTATCATCTAAAAGATAATTGATGGTTAATTGAGACAATCGATGATATGCAGATTCATCTGCTACCCGCAAAATATGTCTATTAAAGTATAACAAATCTGTTTATACACAAGAATTATTTACAGCAGAGTACAGCTGTTTTCTCTTGTCAGTGTGGTGAGCTGTTTTACTTCTATATTCAACATTCAGTTTGAGTTTTATTAACATTATTTTACCTTTATTATATTTTACTTACATATTGGACTCCTGTATTTTTTTTAAACTATAGATTTCTATTTAATTCAGCCCTTTCCCTCTAATCTCTCTAACTGAGCAGTTTTGTTTTGTTAGTTTACCTTTATTTTATGGACTTATTCTACTTTATTTATGCTAATTTTCTATACATTGTGTTTAATGTTTTGGCTGTAACACAGGACGATTTGAGGTGCATAGATCATAATGATGTTATATTATATATTGTTTGTTTTCAGTGCAGTCAAGAACTGTTCTATTACCCAGAAGGTTGTCATTTACTATTCATGCTGATATCACATTGGCTGATAAATGTCAACCCATGCACCTTTTTTTCTTAATTAAAACTACATAAATAAATAAAACTGACTGTGTTCTGCTGCTTTGTTTAAATTGTGTGAGCTGTCTGACTTGTGTGTCTGCATTTTTGTGCATGTGCAGGCAAAGAAGGCCAAGATTGACGTAGATGGCAAACTGAAGAAAGAGTCGGGGTTGGTATCTACTTATATGGGCTCACCTTTTTTAAATTACTGCTTAATTACAATAACATTTTTCCTGCTCTTTCAGTGATTTGGGGGATGATGGGAGCCCAGCCGCTGTTTTAGGTTCATCAGAGCAGGAGAACTCATATTCTGCCCTGTCCACAGCCCAAATTGATCCAGGTCAGTAGAATATGTTTAAAAATCAGAGGCTCATAATGTCCAAAGATGTTGCTGTAGTTTACTGACATTTCATGTGTGGCCACAGGTGAACAGGAGCAGTCCAGCGCAGAGAGGGGAGCTGCATCTCAACCATGTGGTGACTCAATTAACTCGTACGGTCATTCTGGTACGAACAGAAACAGACTCGGCTCTAAACAGTTCACAGTGATGTTACTCTTGTAAGTGCTCTTGTAGCTAAAATAGGCTCTTTTCCTGCAGCCACCGATGCCACAGCCACATCTGAATACACCCAACAGGTTTATCAGGGAAGCAAGTGAGTATGCTGCATGGAAGTGAGACATTAAACTTTATGAATCACTTTAGATTTATAGAGAGAAAAATGCAACATTCTCACTCACATATGCAATAAGTTTTCAAACAAAGCATACTAATCAGTTTCCACTCAGTTATTAACTTGTCAGAAGATCATTGTGGGGTAAATGTATAGATCTGTTTGAGACAGTTATTATAGTTTTGTATTTTCTGATTAGGTTTTGTTTTTATTTGGTTATATTTAGAAAAATCAGTACAGGTATTACAATAAAAACAGAATTTTTGGAAAGTGGTTGACCCGCAGTCTCACTGATACAAAGTCTCATCAGGCAAGTTTTGTTTTACTGAACTAAATTTTACTGAACTATTATCTAGGGATGGGTATCGTTTAGGTTTTATCCGATACCGGTGCCAAACTGGTACTTTTGAAACAGTGCCGGTGCTTAAACGGTGCTCGAACCGGTGCTTAAAGAATGGAGAACACAAACTTTGTCCAAAAACCTCTTATGTTTTTTTTTTGTTTTTGTTTTTTTTTGCAGTGTCTTTTTTTCTGCAAAATGATAACCAAGTTAGCCTTTTCTGTTGATACAACATACCTCCTTTGGTTGGAACCGGTGCTTAAACAATGGAAAAAAACAAACTTTGTCCTAAAACCTCTCATGTTTAGCTGTTTTTTTGTAAAAAGATAACAGTGTTAGCCTTTTCTGCAGCTATGGGGCATATATGGTATCACTCTATCAAACAAGAAGACAGCTGCATGTAACTACGACGGTGTTTGCTAGTTCACCTTACGTGCATTAATTTAATAACGTGGTTAGCCTACTCAACGTAAATTACACACGAACAACATTAAGCTACTTGCGCAGAGCTACTTGCTGCTGCCATAATCATTCGTCATCATTTCTGCTACACTGGCAGGGCTAGGGGCCAGGACTCTCCTCTTCGGGTTCTTGGGGGATGTTGCTAACTCTGGGTCCGATAACAGGCAACCCACCCGCAGTAGATGTGCTCGGTGTGAGGTCTTGCAGCAAGCTATCAATACGGTGCATTTCTCGGCTTTTAAAAAAACCCGCTATGCGTCGCCAGAACTTACGTACCTGGGCCCGCCTACTATCCTTGGAAAGGTACAATGATTGGCTAGAATCCAAAGTGTATGACATCTCAGGGGAAAAAAGCACCGAAATAAAGCACCGAAATGTGTGCTGCTTTTCGGTCTGGTTACTACCGTTTATGTCAGAACCGGTGCCATAATGGAACTGGATACCGGTACCCATCCCTACTGTTATCTTAGTTTGGTAAAATTATTATTTATTGTTGTCAGTTTTCCAGGTTCACCAACACCTAAATCAGTAGTTTCAGTTGTTTTAGTTAATTAAAATGTTTTTTTTTTTAATCTAGTTTTATTTTTTAGTGTAGTTTTAGTTAACCACAGTAACCTTGGTGCACGATTTGTGGCATCCTGACTTTACCTGCAACGTTTGGACCTCATTTTAATTTTGTTGAGATGTTCCAAAGAAGACTTTTATTGATGGCTGCAGATTTCTCCTTTTGTACATCAGCTTCTACTCTCACCACGTTGCAGGTTTGTCAGACCACCAGGTTAGATTACTAATGTGCTTTTACGAATGTAAACGTGATAAAGTAGGTGTTTGTATGTAAATGTGGTGATGAAAAATCCAACTCTTTGTGTGTGTGTGTGTGTGTGTGTGTGTGTGTGTGTGTGTGTGTGTGTGTGTGTGTGTGTGTGTTGTGTGTGTGTGTTGTGTGTGTGTGTGTGTGTTGTTTTGGTTTTTTTTTTATTTGTTTTTTATTACATCAAGACAAAGCCTGGCTCTTTTGTTTTGTATAATGCACCTGCTACAGGTGTACTCACTTTTGTTATAGGTAGTCATTCTCTCTCTCGCTCTCTCTCTTTCAGCCCAGCAGTAACGTCATACACCAGTCAGGTGGCGTTTCCTCCTCTGGCCCAGTCCACTGTGTACTCATCCTTCCCCCAAACAGGCCAGACCTACGGTCTCCCACCTTTTGGTTAGTGCCTGGTCTTTTAGGACGACCCTTTTTAAGGACAGTCTGCTCTCTAAAATCCAAGCATCACACTTCATGACTTTGCTTTTAAAGCCTCACTGTGCTTTGGCGCTGAACCAGTCTGCTTTTAAACCCTGCTTTTACACAAAAACAAATCTTGACGGGAGTACCCAGTTTACTAACTTTGCTGCATCTTCAGTGACCCACTTTCTCCTCTGCTGCGTCTTTCATCTTCAGCTTCCATTGCTCTCTTTCATCTTCAGGTGCTATGTGGCCAGGCATAAAAACAGAGACAGGGCTGCCTGATGCGCCCTCTGGTGGCCAGCCTGGGTTTCTCAGTTTCAGCTCCACATATACCTCAACCCAGCCAGGCCAGCTGCACTACTCATACCCCAGCCAAGGCAAGCTGCCATCTCACTCTGTCTCACTGCAAATACCTGAAGAACACAGTAAAGGAGAACCTGCAGCAGCACAGCTTTGATTTCCTCTCTTGCCATTATAACATCATGTAGAAGAATTTTTATTTTTATATTTTAGACTTTGCATCTCTTTTAATGCGAATGTTTCTTTCTCTAGGCTCAAGCTTCACAACATCCAGTGTGTATTCCAACATCCCTTCAGCTACAGCCGCGACTACAACCGCCTCGGCGGTGGCCCATCAGGTGAGAATGAGTGATTCTCCAGTAAGATGAAGAATAAAATTATCTTTGTGTGTGTTTTTAAGAGCGGTTGGTGCACTGTGGGAGTGGAAAATTGCCTTTAAAATGACCAAAAATTAAAAGGAAAAAATTCCTTTCAAGCTATGAATGTATGCAAGCAAAGTGTTAATATGGTGCAAATCTCAAGCAAGGAATGCAGAAGTCTTGTATGTGTGTGCTCAACATGTTTATTGTGTGCTGTGGTTGGAGATTAGAATGCTAGACATAGTGATCTATAAAAGGATATTAAAAGCATTTGTAATGTGAGCAAAAGTTCAGCTCAAACTTCAGTATTTTTGTCTTTGAGTGAGGGAAGAAATCCACAGGAAGTGAATGCTTTTGGGATCAAGTTTTGATCACAGAGGGTTCATCTGACTGTCTGACACAGAACCTGAGTTTGTGTTATGTTCAGTGATATTAGAACTTCTTGAAAAGATGAGATTGTTCCCACGTATTGTTACTCAGCCCTGCGTGGAGTCCTTTCCCATCATTCTGCTGATCGCGTTTGTTTGTTGTTTCACTTCTCTCCAGGATTTTAGCAGCTATAACTCTCTGGGACAGAGTCAGTTCTCTCAGTACTACACTCTTCCTCCCAGCTACGTGCCTGCTGGGCTACCTAACAGTGATGACCACAGTGGCGGTGCAGGTGTTGCTGGATATTCAGCAGTGAAATCAGAGGAGGCCGCCTCAGCTGGACTGCCTCCTAGAGGTTTTTGGCTTTTCATTATCTTTTGCCTTTTACCTTTTTTCTGCTTTTGGTTTCTTTACCTTAACCTTACCTTTACCTTAACTGTCAGCACTTTGTTCTACAGCACATGTTAAATAGCTGTGTAACATTGCTGTACCTACATTTAAAGCAGGAAAAAGCACAGTAAGAATACTTAAACCAAAACGTCTCATGGTACTGTCTTTCTCTAAGTTAACTTTACATAAATAAAAACCTGAAAAATAACTAAATGAATACTGCACACACTGTTAAGGTGCTTGTGTTACTGTGTAGAAATATTTAACAAACTAGTTAAACAGTTAGGATGAAGTATAGTGTACTTTTTATTTTATTTATTTTTTATCAGTTCTCCTGTGCACTTGGCTAAAATTTCATTTTCAAGATGCAATTTGTTCTACATCCTGGAAGAACTTATAACAGAACTGTTCTGTTTTGTCTGGAGCTCTTTTTAGATATCCACTGCAGCCCTGCACAGCTCGAGACATTTCAGAAATGCAGATGAGAAATTTAAGATCTAAAGTAGTTGGATCAGACATTAAACTGTCAGCTTTAGACCAGGTTACACTGAAGTGTGAAGAGAGCAGCTAATATTCTGGATCTGCACCTCAGTAAACAAGTGAAAAAGTCTGCAGCCAATTCTCCTTTTTAATCCCATAATGTGCTGTGGAATTCAAAAAGAATTTAAGTGGAAAATCTAAATAACTAAAATGAGAATCTTCTTTTGGCTGCTCTCTTGTTTAAAGGTTGTTTTTTATGCTGGCTGCCACGCTCATGTTCTTGGTCTCGTTTTAGATGCGTCCCCACCAGAAAACCTGCCTGTTTGTGCGGCTCTTCCTACAGCTGTGGCAGTGCCCGCTGGAGCTCGAGATCAGGACGAGGTCGGCCGCAGGAACTCGGTGGGCAAAGCCAAAGGGAAGGGCAAGAAGTCTGATAACTCTCCACCTGCTGAGAGTGACCTGGAGGTAATTTGCTTATTAAACAGTGCTGGATATAATTAATAGCAGTGAGTTTGTTTTGACATTTGTGAAATCCTTACAATGATATATTAATTAACTATTACAGGAACTGAACCATTTCTGTGTCAAGTCCAAACCCAAGTTATGTTTATGGGTTTTTTTCATGCTTTTTGAAATATAATGGGAAAGTTAGAGGAGCAGGAAAAAGTTCACTGTAATATGGAGTGCAGCCCAACAGGTAATCTTGTTCTTTTGTGTTTCAGCGCATTTTTCTATGGGATTTGGATGAAACCATCATTATATTCCACTCTTTGCTCACCGGCTCTTATGCGCAGAAGTTTGGCAAGGTTGGTTTTTCCAAAGATGAATCCTTTGAGCTTACAATGCAAAAATTAGACCTATTGAATTGTGTAACATGCTTATTGTGGGTCTGTTTTATTTTGTTCAGGACCCGGCGACTGTGTTGAACTTGGGCTTGCAGATGGAGGAGCTGATCTTTGAGCTGGCAGACACCCATCTTTTCTTCAATGACCTCGAGGTACAGTGACGTTTGTTTAGACTGGAGTGAATATGAGAGATGAGCAGCTTTTGCTTGTTCACAGCAGCTGGTACAAACCAGAATTCCAGATTTTATTTAATTTTATTTTTTACAAACTCACTGAGTTGTATGTCAGATGGAAGAAGGCAGATAGACAATAGGCTGACTGTGAAAAACCGGTTGAACTGCATTAAACAAACAAATGCGGCGCTGTTTCCTGACATGAGCACTTCTAAACCAATCAAAAAGCATATTATTATACATGTGAATAATAATCAGGTAACTGGTGAGTGTTTTTTTCTGGTTCCACCTCCTTCCTTTTTAACAGGTTGAAGGTGTTCAAAAAGCCCCACAATTACTTGTCATACATGTTTTAGTTTCATATTTAATTAGTTCCTAACAAAACTAGGAAAAGAATCCCTCTACTTGTGTTTTCTTCCAGGAGTGTGATCAAGTCCATGTTGAGGATGTGGCGTCTGATGACAATGGACAGGACCTGAGGTGTGTTACACGCTGCCCCGCTAACTAACCCAGACACTACAAAATGCTTTGTGTCGTTCTGAGTAATCACAGGTAGTTTGTCTTTGCTTCAGCAACTACAACTTCATGGCGGATGGATTTAACGGCCCCAGCGGTGGAGCTGCATCAGGAACCACCACAGGAGTTCAGGGAGGGGTGGAGTGGATGCGTAAACTGGCTTTTCGTTACCGCCGTCTAAAAGAGATCTACAATACTTACAAAGGAAATGTCGGGGGTGAGTTTGCAAAGCAGCGTCCTGTGAAGGCTTAAGTGACAGCAGCTCAGACGAAGGAAAAATACATTCTCACATTAAAACACCAGACTTTTCTTCCCAGCTCCCAGAAACCAGCAGTGACTGGAACTTAAGCTCTTTGTTTTCCTGCTCTTGTTACACAAATAAATGTTTTAGTACAGCAGCCAAAAACAAACAGCAAACTGTTAAGGAGGTGAGCTGCACTCAGACTTTGGAGTTTGAGCCACAGTAGGTGGATCATTGTAAGCATTTTGTAAAAAGCGTGCATTTCAGTGTTGCTCCTAACGGAGTTTAGAGCTTGCAGTGAAGAGGCTCAAAGGCTAAGCATAGACGTCTGCTTTGGGGTTTTTTTGGTGTTCCAGGCCTGTTGAATCCCATCAAGAGGGAGCTGCTGTTGAGGCTTCAGTCCGAGATCGAGAATGTTACAGACTCCTGGCTCAGCACTGCGCTCAAGTCTCTGCTGCTCATCCAGTCCAGGTTTGAGCACCTCAGGTTATCGTTTTAGCTCGTAGGTAGTATGTCGTAGATTAGTTACTCCTTGTTAAAATATTTTGTTTGCATCTTTGAGATTCACCCTTAACCCTGAGTTATTGTAGGGTCTTTATCTTACAATTTAAACTGCCTTGTGGCAACTGTTGTTGTGATTTGGTGCTGTATAAATCAAATCAAATACAGTTGAATTGGATGATGATGTTATAAATCTGTGTGTGTGTGTGACACCCACCAACAGGGGGAAGTGTATGAACGTGTTGGTCACCACGACTCAGCTGGTTCCAGCTCTGGCCAAAGTGCTGCTCTACGGCCTGGGAGACGTCTTCCCCATCGAAAACATCTACAGTGCCACAAAAATAGGTACGTATGCAACCTGATTACTCTGTGTCAAATTAAAAAAAAAAAAAAGATCTGTTTATATCTTTATGTGATTCTTTATTTTCCTTTTCCCTGCGGTTTCCTGTCATGTAGGAAAAGAGAGCTGCTTTGAGAGGATCGTCTCTCGCTTTGGGAAAAAAGTGACTTATGTGGTGATCGGTGACGGCCGAGATGAGGAATTTGCAGCAAAACAGGTAAAACTCCATTTTTGCCTTTTTTTTTCTTAAACTATTTCATTTCAAATTGGATGATCTGCAGCATTTTATGATTTTTGACCCATTTTAATGGAACAATTCGATTGTGTTTTTGTGTGGACAGGCAGAATTTCAGATTTTTAGGAAAAAAGATGCAGGTACACGTTCCACATGGTTTTTGTTGTCTTTTTTTCTTCCTGATCACGAGATCATGTACCAGGAAAAAGAAACAAGGCATGGTTTACTGGGAGAATATGATCCTGGATGACATTGACTTATTTATTTACAGTGTGGTATGAAAGATGGTTTATAACCAAAAAACAAAAAAGATACATGAGACATTTTTCCACCTGCTGAAGTTACTGTTTAGACTGACTTGAATTTTCAGAGCAGGTTCATCCTAGATCCTCTCTGAGAAAGTACCTGAATGGTACAAAGTTAACCTGTCAGGAAAAAACATATAAGATGAGAAGGACAGGGGAAGCTGGTTGACAACGAGTGAACTTTCAAAATAAGAGCCAGGAAGTTGTGGGGGTTTTTTCATGTATTTTTAAGAAGTGATTATAAATGCAGGGATTTTCTTGCATGAAAACACTCTGCAGTAAAGTGGATTTAAGAGATGTTTAATTAGTCAAGCATAAAATATTCCTTTGGATGTTTGCACAATCTGTTGGAGCGCGCCCCCCCCCCCCCCCCCCCCGCCCCCCGTCCCCAGAACCCTGATTTTTCTACAATTAAACTAAATAAAGTTGTCATATGTAGATGGGAGACCCACAAACATAATGTCTCACGTGGACAAAACACTTTGTCAGGCTGTGCTCTTTACAATTACACACTCTGCTTTCTTGTGCCTAATTTTTTGTCTCCTTACCTCTGCAGCACAACATGCCTTTCTGGCGGATCTCCAGTCACGGCGACCTCGTGTCCCTTCACCAAGCGCTGGAACTGGACTTCTTGTAACGAGGATGCTGTTGAATGTTGTGCACTCAAAGGGAAAACGTTGTCGTCGTACTGGTGACTTGTGGAGTGAAACTGTGTGTGTGGAAAAATTCTCCACAAGCCCAACAATCCACACTCACCTGTTAGAAATCTGCTCTCGCTGTCCGACGACTTGCAACTCGCTGTGTGTTGGTGAACGCTTTGAGGCGGACTTTGGGTCAGAGCCGCCTGCGAGAAACAAACTGGACGCGTCAGTCATCAGAAGTAAGGTTCCTCTCGCCCAGCACCCCCTCCTCTACGGCAGCTAAGCTCACTGCGGCTGAAACTGGCACTGATTTGGACACGGAAGGGATGACTTCTATTATCCAGCTGCTTCACGGTTTTTGGCTTTTGTTTTCACATAAACATCCAAAAGTCCTGCAGCAAACATCATCCCTCAACTCTCACTGAGTTTAAACGGCTAAAGAGACGTTGTTTGTTGGTGGCTTTGTCTGTGGAGGTTGTCATAGCTTTTTATTTTGAAAAATCTCTTTCCGGGGTGACTTGAAAACATCATTTTGCCTTTGTTTTTCATTATGTTCCTGACAGTCATCAAGTATCAATTAATCCCACTTTTATGTGTTGCCTCTCATGTAGCCAGACCGTTATTAAACAAAAGGTACTCAGTGATGGAGGGCAGCAGGGGCCATTAATCTCTGACTGTCACGACAAGACCAAACCACACCATCAGTCAGCACCATCAGTTCTGACCTCTCCACTGTGTGTGATCCGTGGTCACCGAGCATGTGCTAAGGATAAGAGATGCAAACTGCAGGAAGTGGTAATAAGTGTGGGAAAACATGCACAGAGCATCATCAGTTTCATGGATGACTGGGCAGAAGGATCACAATTTTATTATTATTATTTTTCCCCCATTGTTTGGTTTTCAGACTCATGGCTTCATTTGATGTTTTAGGCAAGAAAACAAATATGTGACTTAACAGAATACTGCAAAAATAAGTAATAAAAGTTTAATAAATGATAAAGAATAAATAATATAATAGCCTCCAATTACACTCCAGGGCTGGACTACATATGTAGAACTACATCCACTAAATATCTGACGTTGGTGTAGTCATCCTTTTTCCTCTTGTGGCTGTAAAGAGCTTCTTTAATTGAAGCTGAAAGCTGAAGTTTTGTCATGACTGGTGATGTTTTGAATATATTTGGACTTGAAAACATTTTTCCACCCTATGCCAATGATAATCAACACTCTTTGTGTCCTTTGGGCTCCTCAGAGCGCAGTCCCAAGTGTCCTTGAATTCCCAGAAGAGAGGTGGAGTGACAAATCTGTAACCAGAACGAAACCGTGATTCAAAGGTCCGCACTATCATATTCATTTCACTGTGATATGGATCTGTTGATGCCTGGTTAAAGTGTGCTGGTTTGGTCTTTCCAAAATTGTTCTAGTACAAGTGAACACCCGATTAATGGGAGATTATTTTTTGCTCATAAGCTAATCACAAAGTAGAAGTCTTCTTTTCACTTTCCTCCTATTTAAAGAAAAACTGAGTCCATCTGTGGTTTTACAGAAATGTTACACAGCTGAAGATCATGTAGCGTTCTTATTTCTTCGATGACCCAAGTAACCCAAGTATGTTTTCAGAGTGTTTGAGTAGGAAAATATGAGCATCCATGGCTGGATTACTGAGACGACCCAGCGGGGACACATGAGACTAAACCAGACGCTTTCATACATGTGCCGTAGCCCTGAAATGTTTTTGACGTTACCTTGTCTGATTCGGTCCATTGGGGTCAATAACCTGCGCCTCTCTAAAACAAATACACGAGAACGGAGGAGCTTTGTTTGCTCTGCTTTCTGCACGCAAACTTCAACCGAACATATTCCCACAAATGAGAACACGTCTGAAGCAGATTACTTCCTGGTGTGCAGGGAGGACATAGTTCCGGGTTCATGTGTAAACTTGATGGCGGAGTTTCTCACACATGGATTAATCAAAGTCCTCGATCATGAGACTTTGTTCTTCAGAGATCATCACAGTGAGTTATTCTTATAATCTGGGAAACTTGCTGACTTTCAGATGAAAGCATAAAATATTCTGGAGTGTTGTTTTTCTTTTATCGTCTTTGTTGTTTGTTGATTTTCGTTCTTTCTGTTTATTTTTTTCTTTTTTTCATAAAAGTATTTTTTCATTGTTTTTCAAAGTACCAGAAAACTTGCAGCCGAATATTTTTGGCTTTTTGAGGCTCTGTTGGTCTTATTGGAGTCGTAGATATGATGTGCATCAAATTACTAATTAGGAAGATGATTAATAATTAGATGCAGTCTTAATTTTGTCTGTGAATGTCAGAAAGTGGTACAGAAGGCAGCCTAAGACCCAGATATTATTATAATAAAGGGGGAAAAAAAGAAGTAAACGAGACATGGCTTTACACACCTCCTCAGTTACTTTGAGTTATCGTCACTCAGCCTCACAACAACCCAAAGTCTTTCTAAATCATATAGGAGGGAATCAAAAATAAAGGATGACAGTGCAATAAACTTCTTTGCTCATTAACTGTATTTCGAGGGGTTTGTTTTGTTATGTAGACGGCGAGGAGCGCAGAGGGATGGACCTTCCCCAGTCTGAATGAGATTAAGACTGAACAATAACTGAGCCTGAAGAAGATTTTCACACACATGCAGCTTGACCGTTAAGAATGTGTATTTGTGTGTCGTTTTGTTTGTGTCCTGTGTGCATATTTATATTGTGCCTTTAACCATCATCTGTCTGCTTAATCTCAAAGGGAAATATCTTTTTATGTTTGATACACGTATCTCTGCATTGTTATTATCCAAAGTGTTATTTTACTTTATTTTTATCTCAATACTTTTTAAGTACTGTCGAGATTTTCTTTTGTTACTGAGTTTGACTTTTTTGACTTGATTGTTCTGTCTGCACTGCAACTGAAAGGTCTGGTAGAAAACTCCACATGCTCAGTGTTTAAAGAAATTTAAAGTTCGGCGTTCAGATGTTTTCCTCCTTTTGACGAGGAGACTTTTTTTTTTCTTTTGCTGTGAAACATTTAGCATCGCTTAGACAATCACAATCCCCGATGTTTGGTGTTTTTATTTTTTATGGCAGGTCAGAAGGTGAAAGCAGCTGTAACAAAGCGTGCTCGTTCTGTCGTTCAGTTACTACCTTAGTGAATCCAAGGGAGAACGAGCAGTCCTCAAACAGAAAACTGAGACCTTTGCATCTGTTCAGCTTATTGAATGTTTATTTCTTTACTTTGTCTGCATGTCACGCCTGTTTTGAAGTATATTATCATGGCCGTACATAATGACCATGAAATGTTTAAGGGACTATAATCTTAGATTTTCTTTTTTTTATGCCAAATATTGCTGTTATTCAAAAGCTGTTTATTTTATATATATTTCATCTCATTTTCAGACATGTGAGGCTGTTTGCGGTCACATAGAGAGCCTGAAACTCAACACTATCATAATAATCAATGCTAATTATTTAATGACAGTAATCACTATTTCCTCCCAACAGCCCTGTAAGGTTTTCCTGTGTAAGACAATATAATGTAAATACATTTTAAAGGTTTCAGACTCAAGTTTGTGTGTTTTTATTTTATTCAAAATGGGGGAAAATTAAAAAGAAATGTATTTGCAAATATAAACCAGAAGGCGGTAGATTATAGTAGTAGAAATAACATATTTAGATCAAATAAATACCTTATTTATTACCTTAAAGTTAGATTCCGGTGTAGTCGGCTTTCTAATGAGAACAGGAAGTAGTCTTTTTGGTTTCTCTATTACAAGATTAATATAGCTGTACCAGCCATTGCTCACTTGTGTCCACACAGGCCCAAGAAATTCTTACCTGAAGTTTAAAACAAATACTACAGTTTGGGCCATAATTCTTCGGACAAAGATGCAGTTTTTCTAGTTTTGCTTCTTTACACCAACACAGTGGATTTTCATTCCAGCAACATCTACTGATTGACGTGCAGATTTTCAGAACTTCAGATTGAGTTTTACAAGTTGAATCATTGACTGAAGATCAGTTTCACGGCCAGGTTCCCTTGTAATTCCATGATAAATAAATATCACCTCCACCCCTCTTCTCTCTACACATTACTTATTTCATTCATCTTCCCCTCACCCCTCTACTCTCCCCACCTCCCTTTTATCTTTCCTCCATCCTTCTCTTCACTTACTTCAGTTACCCATCATTCTTTTGCTTCATTTCTTCCACCCTTCTTGCCCTTCTCTTCATCCTATATCTCAATCCCCTCCTCTTTGAAGTTTTCAGGGGACACCCAGTTGGGAAAAGACCCCAAGGTACAACTGGATATATGTAACCTGGTCCTGAAACAACTTAGGATCCTCTGGGAGAAACTGCAAAATGCTCCTGAGGAAAATTAAAATATCTGGAAAATGTTGCTTACGCTGCTGCCACCATCAACAGACTTCAACTTAACAAAATAAAACTAAATAAAAGAAAACTTAACAACTGTAGCATGAATGGGAAACACTCTTTCAAATAGTTACTTGAATCTGTTTGTTACTTGCGTTCAATCGAGGTCTAAACTTACTACTTATTACTTAAGAAAGAAGAGGACGTGTCTATCCTGGGACAGGATGTTAATGGGGTGGAGTACAAATACCCGGGCTGAGTGACAACATTTATTTAAAAGGTTTCAGGACTTAAGGAAATTGACTGTTGTTTTTGTTTCTTGTTCCTGCAGAAATGAACAAAAAAGTTGCCAATGAACTTGATTATCAGGTGTCACAGTTTCCATCTTTTTAGAGTTTCTGTTGCATATGAATAAATAATACAGAAACCACACAATCCAAAATATGCAATTGCAATGATCAAGGCTAAAGCAAGAGATGAAATAACAGTTTTCTATCTTCCAAACATGGATTTCAAACTATCCTATATGCCAGTATCTATTTGTTAGAAAAATTCCCTTATGGAGTGAGACACACAGGAAGCAATAGCATACACAGTGAACATCTGTGCAAGTGCTCATGAGTTTCATTTATTAACTTCTTCCATCATTATCTTGGAAACAGATATGTGTGTGACGCTCTTACAGAGAAATAATTCAGCTAATGGTGTGCTAGCACATAATTCAAGATTCAAGAAGGTTTATTGTCATTTTGCATGGTATTTACAGAAATACACAGACTGAACTGAAATATTGTTTCTCACCAGCCTCTACAGTACAACAATCAGTAAAAAATAAAAATACACTATAACAATCATGCAGCAGCTTCAGTAAACTCAGGTGTAAACAACCACACTGATTCAGCAAGCAGCAGTCCTCTCACAGAGAGGGATTAATATTGCTAATAGTGCTTGGATAAGAGATTGTCGAGCAGCCACAGCAAGGCTTGGGAGAAAGACTGATTAACTGGACAAGGAGACAGACAGACAGACAGACAGACAGATACATTCCATCAGCTTACTGCAAAGTGTCTATTACTATTTAAGACTTTATAGCCAAATCTTTCCAAAACCTACACAACCCCTCTAAACCTCTGGTCACAGATCCATCAGAAGCAGTGTAGTTCATTAATTTGAAGCTAGACATTATTTTTACCCAAGCCTGAGCAAAGGTTAAGGAGACAAGTCAGACTAACAACTAGGGCTGCAGCTCTCGATTATTTTAGTAATTGAGTAATCTGTTGATTATGCCATATTAAAATACAGTTTTAAAACAAAACTTTGGCTTAAATGCAATAGTATATAAATACTCTCAAGTACTGTTTGAGAGTACTTTATTTCCTGGATGGCATAGATTTGGTGTGTGTTCATATTTATTAGTTTGTACCAGTGGGACCAGTCCCATCCAACTACTGGCCAATAACCTGCCTCAGTACCAGAAGGACGCTCCTGTCAGGCATCATAGTGTCTAAGATAAACAGGCTCATGGCTCAATACATGAGCGGAGCACAGAAAGGAATTGGCAGGAATACCAGAGGAGCGAAACACCAGCTACTGGTAGACAGAGCAGTTGCACAAGACTGTAAAACAAGACTGAGCAACCTGAGCACTGCCTGGATTGATTACAAGAAGGCCTGTGACTCAATGCCCCACACCTGGATCCTGGAATGCCTAGAACTATACAAGATCAACAGGACCCTAAGAGCCTTCATCAGGAACTCAATGGAGATGTGGCGTACACTAGCCAACTTCCAAGCCAATAACACAAGTCGCCATCAAATGAGGGATCTGCCAAGGAGATGCTCTGTCCCCACTGCTGTTCTGCATAGGCCTGAACCCCCTCAGAGATCATTAACAAGACTGGCTACGGATACCGACTACAGAATGGAGCAGTTGTCAGCCACCTCCTGTACATGGATGACATGAAGCTGTATGCCAAGAGTGAACGAGAAATCGATTCACTGATACACACCACCAGGCTATACAGTAATGACAGTGGAATGTCATTTGAACTGGAGAAATGGATGGTAACAAAGAGAGCGAAGGGGATTGAACTAACAGAAGGCAACATTACAGACATCAAGGACAGCTACAGGTACCTGGGAATCCCGCAGGCAAATGGGAACCACGAAGTGGCCACTAGGAAAGCTGCGACCCCCAAATACCTGCAAAGGGTCAGGCTAGTCCTGAGGAGTCAGGTGAACAGTAAGAACAAGATCCGGGCTGTCAACACCTACACCCTGCCCGTGATCAGGTACCCCGCTGGGAAAATAAGCTGGCCAAAGGAGGAGATGAAAGCCACTGACATCAAGACGAGGAAGCTCCTGACCATGCATGGAGGGTTTCACCCCAAGACTGTATGCTAAGTGGAAAGAAGGAAGCCGGGGACTGGTCAGTGTAAGCACCACAGTCCAGGATGAGAAAACGAACATCCACGAATACATAGGAAGATGGCACCAACCAACTGCATGCTCAGTGAATACCACAGGGCAGCAGAAACCCAAGAAAGAAGATGAAGAGGAGAAACCAACATGGCAGGATAGGCCCCTGCACGGTATGTACCACCAGCAGATCGAGGATGTATCAACTTGTGAAAATCCATTACTTAAATTTGCCCATTTGTGTAATTAGTGTCTTCTTTTTTCTCCGCTTGGCTAAACAACTTTACAGATGGATTTTAAGTGGATCTCTGTGCTGTAAAACACTGTTAAATGTCAGAATCATACACAGACTAATCCAGTGCATTTTGGTGAAAGAAAATTAGTGACAGTGTTAGCAAAAAATTAGATAAGAGTGTTTTTCAACCCTTGCACAGCACTTAGCAGAAAACCCCCCAACAATTTGTTGCAGTGTTGCAAGCCTGTTGCTTCTCATTTAGCCGCTGCATTGATGTGGTGAAGTTTCAGCTCAGATTCATCACCCTTCAGCAGTGTCTTGATATTGAAACCTTGTCTCCCTGCACCAGACGAAGCAGAATGGCCCGTGTGTCTTTGAAAGTGACTTCATCACCAACAGCATACTTCCTCACTACAATCTCCTTCACCTCTTTCTCTGTTTTCCTGTGTCTTTCCTTTCACATCAATATAATAGCAATTACTGCTGGCATACAAACAGGAGATGACCATGGCCAGGAGAAGCCTGATGTGTGGTTCATATCAGAGCTGTGGATGAGCAGGGTGGAAGAAGGCTGTGTCACCCTATTCCATTTCTAGGTGCACCCTGTGGGTCATAGTCTCGGACTCCATGGTACATCTTGTTCACTCAGCCCTCCAACTCAGGATAGTCATGTTCCTGCAGCATGCCATTGTGTGATCCTGGCAGGACGACCAGGCAGCCATTCTGCCCGTCCATGCACAGACAATCCCATCACATGGTCAAAAGAGGAAGTAATTCAGATCCTGATTCAATGGATGACAGGACATCTTCTCACTTGCATCAGGAGGTTTGTTGATCAGCGTCATGTGCATAACCATGATATTCTGTCCAGTGAAACACTCAATGTACTTAGGAATCACTGGTAAAGAGCCATACCGGAAGAGGTCATGATCCTCCTGGAAGTCCTGCAGTTTAGAGACAGCTTTCTGATGTGCGTGACTGTATGGTTTGAGCAGATGTGGGTGGAGCTCTGATTCCTGCAGGTCTGTCAAGATGGTTGATAATGACTTGGAATCTCTCCACAGGGTGAGACATTTTCTGTCAAGTATCAGTGCTTCATGTCCTCTGTAAACTTGGACAAGTAGTGGAAGTGGGTTGGTGTACTTCACAGACCTCATCTGACTGGGGGAAAGGCACTGATGGGTTTTGACTGGTTGCTACACAAACTTCTGTAGATGTCATATACTTGTGCCTGTGTCGTATTGTCTTCCTCAGTACAATTCATGTTAAACATTGTCTCTTATCCAACTCATCTAATGCAAAATTAAACAAGCACAATGAAACAGTGTCTGACCACTCTGCAAAAGACTTATTTCTCACAAAATGAAATTTAAATAGTCAAACTATATGTTCCTGTATTAGATCATTTCAGTGCTTGATCATTACAGAATCTTACAGTGAATGTCCCCTTGTCAGAAACAAGTATCCACTTTGTGCTGGTCAATGTCCAAACCAACCACACCTCTTTCTTCGAAGTCACATGGTTTCTGGGAAATCACAAAG